TGGAAAAGAATGAGACTGGACCCATACTTCACTCAATATATAAAAATGAATTCAAGATGGATTAAAGGCTTAATTATAAACCCGACAGCTGTAAGACTCATCAATGAAAAAATAGGGACAAATTTAAGGGCTCTAATACATGGTATAAACACACTATTAAACCTAACAAAAAATACACACAAAGCAGAAGACAAAGTAGATGACTGAGAACTCTAAAAAATAAAACACTTATTTTATTCACAAAAGAGTAAAAAGAACTCACAAATGGGAGAAAAAACTGGGAATAATATATGGGAAAAGGGACTAATCTCTAACATCTATAGAAAGCTAACACTTCAACCAAAAAAAGGCAGGGGGGAATAATCCAATTTAAAAGGGACAAGAATAGGCAGATCATCAAAGAAGACATACAGGAGATCAACAAGCATAGGAAATACTTGCAAAGGGAGTGCAACAGGGCAGCAAGGGGGGCAAAGTAACCAAGTCCCTGATGACCCTTGAAAACAGACTTCTGAATGGGGGGATATGGCTTGGCACCTCATCAGTCCCGATTAGAAAACACTCATAAGGGTCAGCATACAGACCTGTAACTATCTATTGCTTTTTTGTTTTTTTCTTTCACTCTATGTCTATCTATGTAAGATAGGCAGGAAAAACAATCCTGAGGAGAAAACAATGGGACAGGTGGTCCCAGTTGGGGTGGGGGTGGGAGCATGGGAGAGGACAGGGCCTGGAGGGGTAGCATGGAGTCAACAAATTCAGGGATGGGGGAACACCAAGAGATCTAAGAATGATGGCAAGGAGGCCTGGTGGGGTTTGATCCAGTGCATAGTATCCAAGAGGAATTACTGAGAGCTGAGTGAAGGGTGAGTAGGATAGTGGGACAGGAGGAAGGTGAAAGGAAATAGAGGAAAGAAGTAGAACCCTAAAGCTATTTATAGAGTTATAGCTATAGACATGTATATATGTAAATATATTAACTTATAATAAAACGGATAGAGGCCAATGTACATATATTTATATGTTAAGTACTAAGACAGTACTGGACTTTGGGCCTCTACTCAAGGCCTCCCTAAACACAAGAACACTTTGTTCTAATAACCTGGCACTCTTTGATACTCATCTTCCCGACACAATCAATGAAGACAAAATGGGTGCATAAGCAAATGTGGTGAAGAAAGCTGCTGGTGCCTGGCTATCAAAAGATATACCATTTCCCCCCAAATAAGGCAGTGTCTTATATTAGTTTTTGCTCCCAAAGATGCGCTAGGTCTTATTTTTAGGGGATGTCTTATTTTTTTCATGAAGAAGAATACGGTACACATTTGTTTATTGTTTTATTAAAAGAAACCTCGCACTTCCTGTCTGCTCCAGCTGCGCTGCGGCCAACAATGAGCTGCGTGGCGACACCCGACACCGCTAAGGTCCAGAGTCCAGAGTTACAGTAGCTTCCGGGGGGCCTTATTTTCAGGGGGATGTCTTATATTCAGTAAGAGGCAAAACTGTAAGTAGGTCTTATTTTGGGGGGATGTCTTACTTTCGGGGAAACAGGGTAGCATCTGGGATCTTAAAGCTTGAAGTTAAACAAGCAGCCATCTAGCAGGGAAGCAAATATGACCACATGGAAGAAGCACACCAGCCTGTGTGATCATGAGGTGTAAAAATGAGTAGGTATCAGGTATCAAAAGATCCAAAACAAACAATTTTATCAATGTGAATGAGTGGGGTTGAAGTGGAGACCCAATGCCCATCTGTAGACAATTGGACATCCCCCCACAGAAGGGTTACAAGGAAGGGACGATTCAGCCAGGGTGCAGCATAGCACTGATGAAACACACATCATTCCTCTGTTCTTGAATGCTTCCTCCCCCGACTACCATGAACCAGCTTTACCTTACACATCTGGCTAGACCAGAGTACACACATTGGTACAGATAAGAGCTCTCGATACATGGAATTCAGGACAGATAAAACCCTCAGGAACAGTAGTGGGAGTAGTGATATCATGAGGGTAGGAGCATTGGGGCGGTGGGGGGAGAGGACCATCACAAACTTGGATATATAGCCCACCCCCAGGGGACAAATAACAGAAAGGTGGGTGAAGGGAGACAACAGCGAGTGTAAGACATGAAATATCAACAATAATATATAATTGATCAAGGATTCACGATGGTGAGAGATGGGTTGGGGAGGTAGCTGATACCAAGGGCTTAAGTAAAAAGAAAATGTTTTGGAAATGATGATGGCAACATATGGACAAGTGTGCTTAATACAATTCAATGATGGACTGTCATAAGCTTTGTAAGAGCCCCCCAATAGAATGATTTAAAAAAAGAAAGAAATGCTTGTGATCACTAGCCATTCAAGAGATGCCAAGTCAAAGCAATGAGAAACCTCCTGACCTCAGCATTGATAACAGAGTTCCAAGAAACAGAAAACTGCAAATCCTGAAGAGGGTGCGGGGAGACTGGAACGTTCATGTACTGTCGGTGGTTCTGTAAAATGGTACAGCCACTGTGGAAAGCAGTACGGGACTTTTCAAACAATTGAGAATAAAAATACGACATGAGCTAGCCACCCCTCTTCTTGGCACATACCCTAAAGAAGTAAGACCTGCGACAAGGACAGATACACACACGGCCAGGTTCATTGCAGCTCTATTCACAACAGTGAAAAGGTGGAAGCGAGCCCTTCGGTCGGTGGAAGAATGGTTACACTTGGGTACATACACACAGTGGAATACTACAAAGCATTACAGTCATGATGAAAGAACAGACAGTGCAGGAAACCACTATTACAGAGAGTCAAGGAAAGGTTTCACACTAAAAGGAGCAGACTGTGATAATTACCTGAGGTGGGAGGGAAGGGGCTGCCACAGCCTAATGGGTAGACAGACAGGTGTCACCTGGGTGGAGTTGTAAACAGGAGGGAGAAGGGCAAAAAATGAGGGACACAGGGCAAGACAATGGACAGTCTGATGAGGTGTTGAATGCAAAATTGATGATCTACTCTGTAAACCGTCACGGAATTCACTATAAAAAGTTTAACAAACAAATAAAATGAAAGATAAAGTTCAACCAATTAACTATTGTCACCCGTCTTTCAATGCTCAGGTGAGCAGTTATATTATTTGAGAAGCTCCTACAATAACATTGAAATTATGTAAAACAGTAAGTTACCAGAAGATTCAAAGGAGGGACGTGTCAAAAGCGAAGCTGATGGATTATAAAGCAAAGACCTGATCTCACCATTACCCGGTACCTACAACCCACTGACACTCAGGGCCTCAGCAGAACTCATTCAGAGTTTTGCCTGCAAGCAGAGACTACAGATCCCACTATTATGTTTTAAGGGTGTAACTATAGGCAATTAACACTTACAATGTTCAGTGATTTCCCCGACACTTCCCTATGCTGTCACACTCATGTGTTCAAAGGGAGTTGAATCAAATGGCAATGCTATACTCTAAGGGGAACATAATTAGTTTGCCAAAACAAAACAAAAATCCCACAGATGCCATGTAATATAGTCCAAAGTCAATTATACATGAAAAATTATTTTTGCCTACTTACCTAGGGTGTAAGACCCTATTTTAACAGCTAGAATGTCTTAATACTCTGCAACACAACTCTAAATAATTAAAAAGTATTTTGTGGCATTTAGTCCCATAAGCACTGCTTAAATGGCTGCACCCATGCATTAAAAAAATCACTATAAATTAGATGATACTGGTTGAAAAGATAAACCAGTTCCCATGTCACTCTGTAACAGTATTAGCCCCAAAGTCATGGAATCCAAAATACTAAATATGATCTAAAAGTCCTGTTATTTTTCTTCTGGGGACATTTGTTATAAAACCGTAACTACTTAGTGCTAAGAACATGGGGAGGGGGGCGGTGGTGCAGCACTGGACAACGGATGAATGAGGAAATCATCTTTTATAAGGTCTCCATTATCATAAGATCCAAATCATAATACATCATTTGGCTTCAGTTTGCTTATGTCGAACACCTTTGTTACCTAATAACGTTGGTTAAATGGGACAGCTCTGAAAGCTACACAATCTGTGCCAGAAAGTGCAACAGAGTCTTCCGCCTCCACAAAGTCAGCCTGGTTCTGATTTCAATCCCGGGTCTGAATTCCTGGCAAATACTTAAAGACATCAAAACTCATTCCAAAGGGATTTATTTTATTTTATTTCAACCCTTTGAGATTAAAAGGCAGAATGGCAATGCTATACTCTAAGGGGAATAATTCTGAAATTGTGGGCAGTGTGAGTGGAAACATCAGAGAGTAGCCCAGTTTTTACGCATGAGAAGTAAGGTACAGGAAGACCGATCAGAGAGCTGGTGGGGAACAAACAAGATAATGGCAGTCCACTGGAAACTGCAATAAATATGGGAAGAAGAAAAAGTACAACCCACTGCCCTTTCTGCCTTCAGTGCAGAGTCTGAGTGGCCCAGCAATTCACGTGTCTGTATACCTTTCACAATGTTATTAGTGTCTAGAGCCTTATCATACTCCAGCATATGAATGACTGATACTAAAAATCTGCTTAAGGTGGCAACTTTGGAACCAGATCCTCACCCGCAGGGCCCAGGAGGACCAAACTCAGGGGGTGCACACCTTTCGATTGAACGTTTGCAAACCTCACGAAGCGTGTGTCCCTGTGCTGTGGGGCAGGCTCTGCTGCCCATTCTCCAGGGAGCCCCCAAGCGTCACAGAGATGACGCCCCCGCGATTCTTTCCCTGAGTGACAGCGTGCCCCGGGGAGTCAGCTGGAAGCAAGAGTGACATGACAGCCGCCCCCTCTAGCTCTTTCCCAGGGAAACGCGCGCCGGCCCTTGGCTACCAGGGCCTCCATCACGGCCGGCAGCAGGTTAAACCGAGAGGGAAGCGGGGCTCTCGGCCCCTCCAAGCGGTCACCGGCTGTCACAAGGGTTCCCCAACGAGGGGCGACGAGGAACCAGCGGGCCCGGGTCCCTCCCCCGCGGGCTTACCCTCCGCCGCCTCCGACTCGCTGCAGCCGCCCCGCTTCCTTGCGGAGGAGCCCGAAGCACTGCGTCCAGCAGCAGTTCCCCATCGCATGCCTCCCCGGTGGCACCGCCTCTCCACTTCTCCTCCCGCGCGAAGCCCAAGCCCAGGCCCCGCAGCCGCATCCGCGCGGCGCGAGACCAACGGGGATCCGAGGTCGAGGGCGGGCCGGCGGCGTGAGGGGCTGGGGCGCCGCGAGGGACCAGGCGTTCGCAACAAAGGCTGCGGTTACTCCAGCAGCCGCCGAGCGGCGGCCGCCACGCCAGGAATGCGCGGCAGGCTGCGGGGACCGGACTCCCTCGCGGTCCGCATGGCCCTAGCTCAACTGGGCCCTGGCCAGCAAGCGGGCGCCTCCCGCCGCCGAAGGAAGCCGGTCGCAACCACTAGGCTCCGCAGGCCCCGCCCTCCTACGCCCGGCCCGGCGCTGGCCGGCCCCCGCCGTCAGCCACGCCTCCGAGCTCTCCCCGCCCTGATAGGTGCGTTCCCTCGGAGGCCCCGCCTCCTCACCGACCTGTCCTGACGTCATTTCCGCTAGGTCCTCGATTCTTCGGCTGCCGCTTCAGAGTGTTCCTAATTCGCTGCTGTGCTTATTTGTTTTGCTGAACCTTGACCCGGCTAGGAAACCACCCGTTCTCTTGAGTCTTCTGTCTGCGGCTCCGGAATGAGCCTGGAGGCGCCTGGTCGAGGCTCGGGGTTCGAACTTTGTACCAAAGCCTGAGCGAGCTACCTAGAGCCCCAAGCTAGGAGTCCTCAGGTGTGAAGGCTGAAGGGGCACCTCTCTAAGCGTATGCTTAGCGTAGTTCATGTTAGTATTGCACTGTAAATGAGAAATAGAAGCAGGAGCTGTGTGAAGTAACTTTGAATGTACCAAAAATCCCGCCGACCCCCCCTCCTCCCTCCTCACTTACTGGTTTGCAATGCAATCTCCTTACTATGAACACTGCAGGGAAACGTATTCTTTGTGCCCTACTGGCCTCATTTTTATTTGCTTTAAATCAAATCTTCCATTAATTTCGGGTGGGGCAGTTGCAGTCCAGAGGAAAGAGGAGGGCTGGGGTTTTTCAGGGACACCAGCCTTGCCAATTCAAACATGCTGCCCAGAACTATGTAGATAGGAAAAGAAAGCTGCTTTGATACTTGTAGGCCTGTGGCACCCTTCCAAATGTTACTTCAGTGCCATTCGCATTGCAATCAAATAAAGGGCAGCCTTAAGAAACACCTAATTCTGTAGTATAGGACATGCTCATTTACTAACCAGGCATGCTTATTTTAGTCCATTTGGAATGATGCGGAGTGAAATTATATTTTAGGAAATTGTTGATGGCAATGTTCTTTGTTCATTTTCTTGCTTTTTGAAACCTAGATCAACCTGTGTTCCAATTTTAGCGCACACTGTTATTTAACGAATTTTGACCTTACTTGGCTCTAAGTTGTTTCAGAAATCCAATTTATGTATGGTATAGTGTTTGAGCCAAAGTCGGTTCTCAGTGAATGTCGTTGAAATGGCTGGATCATCTTTTCTGAACTGTGACTATTGTTCCCCCTTTCAGCTCCTGAAGTTAGGCAAGCATATTTGAGATACATTCTTTAAAATTCAACAATAAATGCTGTCAAAACTGGTACATTAGCTTGTGGACTATTGCTGGGCATTAACAAACTATTGACCTGCCCACCAACTTGAACAAACTCTGCATAGAATTATACTGATCAAAAATGCCAATATCAAAGATTGTTCTTGTTGTTAGGTGCCACCGAGTTGGTTCTGACCAATAGTGACCCTAGGCACAACAGAACAAAACACTGCTGAGTCCTGCATCATCCTCACAATTGTTCATATGCTTCAGCCCATCATTACAGACACTGGGCCAATCCATCTAGTTGAGGACCTTCCCCTCTTTAACCGTTCCTCTGCTTTACCAAGCATGATGTTCTTCTCAAGGGACTGGTCTCTCCTGACAACAAATATGTGAGATGAAGTTTCTTGTCTCTAAGGAGCACTCTGGCCCTATTTCTTCCAAGATAGTTTTGTTTGTCCTGTTAGCAGTCCATGATCGTTGAAATATGCTTCGCCAGCACCATAATTCAAATGCATCAATTTTTGTCTTCCTTATTCAATGTCCAACTTTCACATGCATATAAGGCCATTGAAAATACCCTGGCTTTCATCAAGGACCCCTTGGTTTTTACAGTATCATCCCTGCTTTTCAATACCCAAGAGGCTGTGTGCAGCAGATTTACCCAATGCAATGTGTCATTTGCTCTCTTGGCTGCTGCTTCCATAAGCATTGATTGTGAGTTCGAGGAAGACAAAATCCTTGATAACTTCACTCTTTCTCCATCTATCATGAGGTTACCTATTGCTCCAATTGTGAGGATCTTGGTCTTCTTTACCCTGACTTGTAATCCATACTGAAGACTGAAATTCTTCATCTTCATCAGCAAGTGCCTCAAGTCCTCCTCACTTTCAGCAAGCAAGGTTGTGTCATCTGCATATCGCAGGTTAATAAGCCTTCCTCTGATCTTGATGCCGCATTCTTCTTCATATAATCCAGCTTCTCTGATGATTTGCTCAGCATATAGATTGTATAAGTGTTGTGAGAGGATACAACCCTGACACACAGTTTTTTCTGATTTTAAACCATCCAGTATTCTCTTGTTCTGTTCTCACAAAGGGTCACTCTTATTGTTGTTGTTCTTAGGTGCCGTTGCGTCGGCTGCAACCTGTAGTGACCCATAGCAAGCCTGAGCAATCCTTTAAGACAAAGTAGAACTGCTCCATAGTGTTCCTAAGGCTGTAATCTTTATAGAAGCAGACACATCTTTCTCTCAAGGGATGGCTGGCAGGTCCCAAGCACCCACTTTTCACTTAGCAACAGAACACTTAACCACGGTGTCACTAGGCTTCATACCAATACTGTGTCACACTATTTCTGGAGTATGCTTGAAATGACAAAATTATAGAAATGGAGGATAGATTTGTGGTTTCTAGAGGTCAGGGAGGGTAAGTGGTGATGGAATGTTCTATCTCTTTGCTGTATCCCTGTCTATACCCTGATCCCTGTCTGAAATCCCTCTCTGGAGGCAGCAGAGGCCATAGCCCCAAATTAAGAGACAGTGTAGAGGGAGCCATACTGAGGTCATGAGGCAGAGCAGAGGAGCAGTGCCCAGGTCGTGAGGTGGAGTGACACTCTTCCTGGCCCACGGAGGAAGGCAGAAGTGGCCAAGGACCATGTGACCAAGAGGACATTTCTGCCAGCATGGCTGAGAAGAAGTGCTTCCACAAAAAGGAACTCTATCATTACCAGTTTGTGTCCTGTTAGTGTCCCTAACCTCCATAATAGTGAGCATTGTCTGAACTCTGTGGGCATTGCAGCGCTCTACAGAAACCGAGAGAGAAGTCGAATGCATGGGAGGAATGGTTGGTGTCGGAACAGGGTAAAGAGGATGGAGAGTGGATGTGCCTTACCTCTGCCTGGGGCTGTTGTGGAGTTAGATTCTCCTCCACTATGTAGCCAGAGGAGACCCGACTTGGCCTCTGTGTTAGAAAAGCAAATCCAGAGACACTCACGGGTGTAAGAGAGAGGTTTATATCAAAGAGCAGTTGTATATTGAGCCCCATCCAGATCAAGTCCATAGTCCAGTATTAGCCCATATGTCTGACACTAGTCCATAAATTCCTCTCAGACTCACACAGCACATCCAATGATGCCAAATTCAGGAAGATCACAGAGTAGTGGGTGCAAAGTCTGGTGGATCCAGTGCCATTGGAAGCATCTCCATATAGCTTCTCCAGCACCTGGGTGTGTCTCCTCAGCAGGAAAAGGAAGGCAGAGAGAGTATAGCCCTCTTCCAGGGAAAAAGAGAGGAAGTTCCCAGAATCCTCATGAGAAGCTCACCGCCCACAAGCAGGCATCAATCAGGCTGATTGACAGGGATAGACTCCACCTGTTCACTCTTAATATCATCGAGTTGACAAGAGATTATGTAACTACTACAGCCTCCATGCCATTTTCTCAGCATATCAGTAAAATTGATGAAAACCAAAAAAAGAAGAGAAAGAAAAAAATTGATGAAAGCCAAAGAAAAATCATCAAAGCAGAAGAGAAAAACAGACGTAGTACAGGGAAACAAAAGTAATACGTTATTTTCAGAAAGAATGCAAGCCACAATGGAGTAACATCTTTTGAAAACTGGGGGAAAAAAGTCTGTGCTTAGAGGGGCAGTGAAAAGGCGGTAGGCTCTCAAGGAGATGGGCAGACATAGTGGCTGCAACAATGGGCTCAGGCACAGGAACAAATGGGAGGAGGGCGCAGGACCCGGCAGTGTTTCCTTCTGTTTGCATAAGGTTGCTAGGGTTGGAACCGACTCGATGGCACCGAACAACAACAAAATAGCTTATTTGTCACAAATGAAGGGAAAATAAAGACTTTTTCAGATTAATACAATGTAACAAGCTCATTATAATATACGCTAAATTAAGATCATTAGCTTAAAAATGAAATCATACCAGATATTAAAATTTACAAGAAATATGAAAAGCATATGTGGTAGTTACATAATCTGGTGTCAATTTGAGGATTAGGAGTGGAAGGGTGGAGTCTAGCCTCTCAATCAGGATATAGCCAATGAGGCCTCTGTGTGGGCATGGCCTTCTCCTGAGGATTCTGGAACTCCTGTATTTCCTCCTTGGAGGTGGGAGACACTCTTTCTGCTCACTCCCTATGAGACATCCCTGAGGAGAAGTCACATGTATCTACTGTGATGCAGCCCTGGGTAGCACTACAGAGACCCCTGCCAGCACTGAGATGCTTACAATGCCACTGGATCCACAAGACTTCCCACCCACTGGCCTGTGATCTTGCACTTGGTGTCACTGCATGTGTTTCGTGAGTCTGAAGAGGACCTTATAGCTTGATATCGGACATATGGACTAATATTGGACTTAGGAGTTGATCTCGACTGGGCTGGGATGTTTTCTCAATATTCAATTGCTCTTGTACATAAACCTTTTTCATATACACATGAGTGTGTCTATAAATTTGTTTCTCTAGTTTACCCAGATTAACACAGCATAGAACTGTGGATAAGTATGCTGGTGCTGCTTGTGTCCTAGTTCGGTGCTTTCGGGGTTGTAAGAATAGCACCATGTCTCCTCACCAGTAATGACCTGGGGGCGGGGGTGTTGGTTTGGAGTTGTTTTTCAAAGCATGGCATGTTTCTATTGGATGCTCTTTTCCTGGTCAGTCAGAACCTGAAGCACAAATTTCACAGCGACCTTCT